GCTACATAGTATTCCATGGTGTGTATGTGCCACATTTTTTTTATCTGGTCTATCATTGATGGGGTTGGTAGGAGTGTAAATTAGTTCGACCATTATGGAAGACAGTGTGGCAATTCCTCAAGGATCTAGAACTGGAAATACCATTTCACCCAGAAATCCCATTACTGGGTATATACTCAAAGGATCATAAATCATTCTGCTATAAAGACATATGCACACATATGTTTTTGCTGCACTGTTCACAATAGCAAAGACTTGAAATCAAGGCAAATGCCCATCAGTTATAGATTGACTGTTTTTTTGAGATGGAGTCTAACTCTGTTGCCCAGTCTGGAGTGGAGTGGTACAATCTTGCCTCACTGCAACCTCCACTTCCTGAGTTCAAGCCATTCTTCTGCCTCAGGCTCCTGAGTAGCTGGGACTACAGACATGTACCACAGCACCTGGCTAATTTTTTTTTTTGTTTTAGTAGAGACAGGGTGTCACCGTGTTAGCCAGGCTGGTCTCCACCCTTAGGTGATCTACCCTCCTCGGCCTCCCAAAGTGGTGGGATGAGCCACATACCTGGCCAGAATATTGTTATTTATGATAACCAAATTAATTTTTCCAAAAGATCATACATTTCTTTTGAATAACAAATATTAAAAAACTTTTACTCTGACTTATTATAATGTTGTTACACACATATATATTTTAACACTAAGCAATTTATTTTTATTTTTCCTTTTATAAGCTTATAGTTATTTCTAAAAGGAAATAACTATAAGCTTATAAAAGATATTTTAAAATAAGGCTATTAAAATATGCAAATGGAATTTGGCCCTAGCAATGATTTATTTTTCTCTCTAGCTTAATTCTCTGTGTTTCACTTATTTTTTTATGGAAATTTGTTTTTCATCTATAGTGTCATTATACCATGCTACCAGAATTCAGTTTGGTTTCTCATGTGACATTACAAAATAAAAACAAGTGAGGTGAGCCCTGTGATTCTCACAGCATATTACCTTGAGAGAGTTTTCAATCACAGTTCCGGAGGAGGAAAAACATGTAATTTATATACTTCTAAAGTATCTTTCAAAACAAAGATAAAATAAAGACTTAAAAAAATCCATAACCTGAAAGAATTCATCACCAGCAAACCTACACTATAAGAAATGATAAAAGAATATATCCAGGTAGGAGGAAAATGACTCCAGATGGGATACAGATCTACACAAAGTAATGAGAATTACCAGACATGGTAACTATGTAAGTAAATGTGCAAATTTTTAAAATTAAACCTCTTTAAAGATAATTAGTGTTAAAAATAATAGCAATGTTATGAGATTTATAACACATAACTAAACAAAATGTATTAAAAACAGTCGATAGTCTGGGAAAAAGGAAACAGAAATATACCATTTTAAGATTTTTATACCACATGAGAAAGAGTAAAACATCACTTGAATGTAGACTAATAAGTACTATAAACTCTAAAGCTACCACTGCAAGAATGAAAGTTATGACTAGTAAGTCAAAAAAGGAAATAAATCGGAATCATTAAAAATGTTCAATTAACCCAAAGACAGAAAAGGAGGATAGAGAAGAAGAGCAGATGGAACAAACAGAAAACAAATGATAGATGATAAACTCAAACCTACCAATATGAATAACCACATTGTATTAGTCAGAGTTCTCTAGAGGAACAGAACTCTCTGTGTCTGTGTCTGTCTGTCCATCTCTCTGTCTCTCTCCCGTGCTCTCTCTCTCTCTCTATATATATATATGTATATATACACACACACACATATATATACACACACATATATACACACACATATATGTGTGTGTGTGTGTAAAGGGGAGTTTATTAAGTATTAACTCACACAATCACAAGGTCCTACAATAGGTAGTCTGCAAACTGAAGAGCAATCAGAGCCAGACCAAGACCCAAAACTGAAAATTGGAGTTTGTTGTTTGAGGGCAGGAAGCATCCAGCATGGGATCAATACATAGGTTGGGAGGCTAGGCCAGTCGCTCCTTTTCATTTTTTCTGCCTGCTTTATATTAGCTAGCACTAAGATTGTTCCCACTAGATTAAGGTTGGATCTGACTTCCCCAGCCCACTACTCAAATGTTAATTTCTTTTGCAACATCTCACAGAAACACCCAGGATCCATACTTTGTATCCTTCAATCAATTCAAGTTGACATTCAGTCTTCGCCATCACACACACATTAAATGTAAATGGTCTAAACACTTCATTTTAAACTCGACTGTTGCCAGATGGGGGGGAAAAAAAGTGAAACCCTACTACATGCAGCTTATGAAAAACAACTTTTAAATATAAATAAATGAGTAAATGATAAAAGAATGAAAGAAAGTGCTAGGTTAACAATAATCAAAATAAAGCTGGAATGACTATATTATTGTTATAGATTTTAAACCACTGAATATTACTAAAGAAAGTTATTTTGTTGATAAAGTGGTCAATTCATCAGAAGGACATAACAATCCTAAAGTTTATGTTCCTAATAGCAGAGTTTCAGAATACAAAAAACAACTAATAGAACTACAAGGAATAAGAAACAAATTTATCCCTGCAGTTGGAGATTTTAATATCCCTCACTCAATAATTGATAGAACTAATAAGCAGAAAATCTGCACGAACACAGAAAAGTGAGTAACATTAACAACCAACTTAATTAACATTTCCAGAACATTTCCTCTAAAAACAACATAATATACATTATTTTCTATGAGCATGAAATACTAAGATAAACATTGAGATAGATTTGGTACATGATTTCAGTTTCCACCTTATGAAACAAACATTCACAAAAAAGAATAAGAAAAAATAATGACACAGCCAACATTAATGATAGAGAAAACAAAATCAAGAGAGTAAACCAATAAACCAAAACCTGTCTCTTTGAAAATATTTTTAAAATTTGTAAACTTTTTGCCAGACTAATCTGAAAATAAGATGGAAAGTGAGAAGATACACATTACCAATATCTGGAATGAAATGATGGCCCACTAGAGATTCTACAGGTATTGAAACAACAGTAAGAGAACAATGTAAATGACTGTATGCTAATATATTAGTAAATTAGATGAAATAGACTTTTCTTGAATAACACAAACTACCAAACTTTATTTCAGAAAAAAATAGCCTGAATAGTATCGTATTTATAAATTAAAATTTTAGTAAAACTATTTCTACAAGAAAACTTCAAGTTCAGATTGCTTCAAAGGCAAATTCTACTAAACATTTAAGGATAAAATAATACTAATTCTACACAGATTTTTCGAGATTCATAATTCATTTGATAAGACTTGTGTTCCATTAATATCAAAACCAAACAAAAACACTTAAGGAAAGTGAAATTACAGACCATTCTTTCTCATGATCATAGAATCACCAATTCTGAACAAAATTTTAGTAAGTTTCACTATATTAGTAAATGAAAAAGGAAAACCATATGATCATCTCAATAGACTTTTCAAAAGTATTTGACAAAATCAAACTTCCATTTCTGATTTTAAAATAAATTTAAAACCTCTCAATGAAATAAGAAAAAAAGGAAAATGTATTAAAAATAACAAAGGGGACCAACAAAAATCTGAAAATCTAACATTATATTTAATAGTGTTAAACACTTTCCCACTAAGATCAAGAACAAGACGTGTACATCAGCTCTTGCCATTTCTGTTAAACATTATACTAAAGATTGTAGCCAGTACTATGAGACAAAAAAAGATAAGTAAAATCATATGTATTTAAGATAACATGTTCATCTACACAGAATATTCATAAAATCCACCAAAAATTACTAGAACTATTAAGCTATTTCATCAATATTACAGCATATAAGATCAATATACAAAATTAAAGCACAATTTTATATATTACAAATAAATAAAGAAATGTTGAAATTAAAAGTAAACCATACATTGTTAATATCAGTGCCAGGGATAAATCTAACAAAAAAAAGTGCAAGATCTTAAAATGGAAATCTACAAAACATTACTGAGAGACATTTAAAAAATGTAAATAAGGAGATACTCCATGGCATGACTTGGAAGAGTCAATATTGTTAAGATGCCATTCTTTCCAAATTGATATATTCTAAAATTTGTATGGACATACAAATGAGAAAAATAACCAAAGCTACTCTTAAAATATTTTTAAAAGTTCAAGAATTCATATTTGATAATTTCAAAAAGTATAAAGTTACAGTAAGCAAGACATGATACTGGCATCAAAATATTTTTATTTCAAAAAGACTTTAAAGTCAATCAAACAATGAAGAATTCAGAAACAGATCCACCTATGTATAGACAACTAATTTTTGACAATGCAAGGGAAATTCAGTGAACAATGATAGTCTTTTCCACAAATGGTGGGGGGACAACTGAACACCCATTTGCAAAAATGCACTCATTACGTTATAAATTAAACACCTAAAAGAAAAGAAAAACCTTTATAATGGATTAGGCAAATTTCTTAGATATGACACCAAGAGTAAGATACATTTAAGAAAAATATTGACAAATTGCAAATTTTTAAATCTTTTTAGCTTTTCCTTTTAGCTTTTTTTTTCTAGAGATACTATTAGGTTAGGAGAATAAAATGACTACTTAGTCAAGCTATCATTCAACATTGAGTGCAAAGTAGATGCATATTTAGAGAAAGTACAAATTCAAGTGGTTACCGTTCCCAGGCCCATCACTCAGAGAATGGCCGAAGCAGTACTTTGAGGAAGGAAACTGCACCCAAAATGAAGGAATAGAAAAAAGCAAGAAGCAACGAGTTGTAAACACAAAATAAACTTTGACTATGTAAATTAAAAATAATAATTGCCTGAGTATGTATAGAAAGTAATATAAAATATGAAACAGCATCTGGGTTAGGATATAAAGTTAATTCTTTGTTGTGTTAGGCAATTTTTATACTGCTATGAAAAAATACCAGAAACTGAGTTATTTATAAAGAAAAAGAGGATTAATAGACTCACAGTTTCACATAGCTGGGGAGGCTTCAAAATCGTGGTGAAAGGTGAAGGAGACCCAAACACACATCTGCATGGCAGTAGGCAAAAGAAAGTAGTCAGCGAAACTGCCCTTTATATCACCATGAGATCTCGTGAGACTTACTACCACAAGAACAGCACAGGAAAAACCCATCCCCATGATTTAATACCTCCCACCACAGGTGGGGGTTTTAATACCTCCCACCACAGGGGGGGATTATGGAAGTTATAATTCAAGATGAGATTTGGGTGTGGATATAGCCAAACTGTATCAAAGGTATTCAGTAGCAGAAAAAAATATATTAATCAATATTAGGCTTTATTAATATAAAAACAAAATTTTTTGGAGCAGTTACTGAAGGAATAGAAATATAATGTGTGATAAACAAGATAAAAAGGAACTTAAAAATTTGATTCAAAAAAAGACAGAAAAGAAAAACCAAAAAAAAAGTTGTAGAAATAGTTTCCATATTTATCAATTGCAAAACATGTTAATAGGTTAAAAGATAGGTCGAAATACATTTTCTCAATAAAACAGTGTGTTGGGAAATACACTGAAAAATTAAAAATTGTTGATACTAGTTGAAGTTTGGTGATAAATATATGAAAATTTGTTATATTATTTGCTTTATTTTTGTATGTGTTTAAAATTTCCCAAAATAAAAATTTTAAAAACTAGTTTTCTCATTGTAATATTTTGCCATTAACTTTTAAAATGTGAAAAAAGGAAGTAGATCGGCTTATAAAAATCGTGTTATATCCTTTTTACAGAAGACACCCCCAGAAGTCACTTCACAGATTGTTTGAAAGTAAGAGACAGAAAAATACTAACCAAATGAAAACAGCTGGCAAAATTAGTCTTTGACAGATTATAAAGTTTAAAAAGGTGGAAAGCATCAGTCCTCAAACCTTTTGGTGTCAGGGGCTGGTTTTTGTGGAAGACAGTTTTTCCATGGATGAAGTTGGGGCAGTGGTTTTGGGATGAAACTGTTCCACCTCAGATCAGTAGGCATTACATTTTCACAAGCAGCCTACAACTTAGATCCCTTGGACGCAGTTCACAGGAGGCGGAGCTTAGGCTGTAATGCTTGCTCACCAGCTGCTCACCTACTGCTCTGCAGAAGGCTTCCACTGACCAGTAATGGTTTGTGGTCTGGGGGTTGGGAAGCTGAGGTTTAAGGACAGTGACTACTTAAAGATTACCAAGAAATTCAATAGAAAAATAAATTTTATTAACAAGAAATTACTTTAAATTACTTTAAGTTACTTTTTGTTTGCAATCTCTTTAAAAGAAAAACAAATCTTGAAGAGGTGACAAAGGGCTTGGTCTGCATGTTTGTGATCAAAACAGTATAACAGTAACAGGTGATTTGATCATTTCCTCTATCTTCATGGCCATTTGAATATTTACGAACACCTAAAGTGTGAGACCATAGCGTTGAAATCTAGAATATGGGTGAGAAGTGAATTTAAAACAAACTTAAAGATAACTAAGTCCAGCTGGGAGCTGTGGCTCACGCCTGTAATCCCAGCATTTTTGGGAGGCTGATGAGGGCAGATCATGAGGTCATGAGTTCCAGACCAGCTTGGTCAACATGGTGAAACCCTGTCTCTACTAAAAATATATATATATATACATTATATATTAGCTATATATATATTAGCCAGGCGTGGTGGCATGTGCCTGTAATTCCAGCTACTCCAGAGGCTAAGGCAGGAAAATTGGTTAAACCTGGGAGGTGGAGGTTGCAGTGAGCTGAGACCACAACACTGCCCTCCAGCCTGGGTGGCAGAACAAGATTCCATCTACGGAAAAAAAAAAAAAAGTCCAAACTGATGATATGTTTTCTCAAGCATTTGGAGGATACAAGAATTGGGGGTTAAAAAGGGAGGGTGCAGCGTGCCAGTTAGCTGATGTTCGCCATTTCTGTTATTTGAAGAAACTCTAGTGGAGTGAAGCAATTTGATGAACTTATGTTGAAAAGCTGGGCAGCAAGACAGACCTGGCTTGTATCCTAAATGTGTTGTACAGTACCTCTGTGATCTTAGACATGCTACTTAACCCCACTGATCTATAGTTTCCTCTTCTGTAAAATGGAGATGATGTATCTGCTTTGTCAAGTTATGGTGGAAACTAAAAGCATTCACACACTCACACACAGAAGGTGTTTAGCAGAGTCTGATGGTAAAGGTACAATATTGTGCAGGAAAGAAAAAAGCTAAGGTATAGATGTGAATATGTATCCAAGAACTGCTAAACTGTAAAATAAAGTTTTGTTCTTGTGGTTATTAATTATTTGAAATTATTTTTAGGCAATTGTTCCTATTCTGAGTGCCTTGTGTTAAAAGGGTTTAAAATATGAATTTTCAAACATAAATTATAAAATACATTATGCCATAACAATTAAGTAGAATAATTTGTAACTTTTCTAAATCTCAGTTACTTTATATAAAAATAATGGGAGTAATATTTGCCCCTCAAAATTGTTGTGATGATTATAAGAGGTTATATAAGAATAGTGTTTAGCTGAATGCCTGGGACAAAGCAAGCCTCCATTCTGTAAATTCAGGGTTATGTGCATAGAAATATATTGGAAAGTATATAAAACTATGTGCAGCTTATGGCTGATTCTCTATGAACAGCTTTATAATTTTTTAAATACTCTTATTTGCTATTTTTCTTGTATTTGTGATAGCATCATGATTTTTATTTTATTTTACATTTTTGTAATTCCAACAACAGTAGCTGAATGGAGTCAACAAACAAAATAATACTACTGAAAGATTTGTTATTCAGAAGGATTGTCCTGTTCAAACTCTACTTCTGTCTCCCACAATCTTTTTCATCCCATTATACTTCCTTTAATAATATGTTAACATTCTAAAAAGCTAAAAATTTTCATTTGATTTTATTTCCATTAAGTTCATATTTGATGACTCTTGCATGGAAAATGCATACTGATTTAGAAACCAACTTACTATCACTAATATAGATAGGGAAACACAATAATATATGAAAGAAAATAAAATAGAAAAACCTCAAACAAGTATAAAATCCTTTAAAACAAACAAAAAATATTAGGTAAAAGTTCAAATAAAGATTATTGATTACTATGGAAATCCTACAAATGTGGGGTCCCATGATAAGACATCTAAAAATATTGGAATTGGATTGATGTGGGCTCCAGCATGCAGTGATGAAATATAGATTTCAGTGGACAAAAAGGGGAAGATTGTGGACATGAGGTTTAAAACATCTGGCTGCAGTTCTGCAGTTGCCTCCAGCCCATTAGCCACCGACTGGGTGAAAAAGAATGATAGAGGAAGCCTCTACCATCAAAAACACAGGTATGACCAAGGAGCTCTGCCTTCCTCCTTAAAACTGCCTGCTCCCTGCTGGCTGAAGATGCCACCAAGGCTACCTGGCTGGTTACAATCTAAGATAAAGACCCAAGGAAAGAGAGGTGGAGAAGAAACGTGTCCTCAGAGAAACCTTAGTCCACACCAGCTGTTGCCCACCTGCTGTGCAATCACCTTAGGTGTTCAGAAGCTGCTCACACTGCACAAAACCGCTGTGAGATACACACAATATTTGCTGTTCATATTTGTGACTCTAATGCAGGCAAAATACACAGTTTAATTGATCTGAATCCTGTGGTTTCTTTCAACCCACTTTTATCACCTTAACTCAGTTAATGTATATTTTGAATTGTATGTATGGCCACAGGACTGAAATTGATAATGAATTCTCAAATTTTGATATTCTGTTAAGAATATCAATATCTAATTTTACCTAAATTGATTTGAGGGGAAATTACCAGTAGAATGCCTTCATCTGATTATTCGATAGGACCAATTGTACATAAAATAGACCTGCATATATATATATGTGTGTGTGTGTGTATATATGTGTGTGTATCTGCATATGTATGTATTATAATAAAAGAATGAAAGAACCCCCAAAATCAGAAGATTATGGTAATTCTCAGTGATGGTTCAAAGTAACTAGTTTGTGGTGGTGGGGGGAGCAGGGGAGTAACTTTTTTGATTCGTTTCTTACCAAATAAAAATTTTGACAAAAAGCTCATTTACTTTTTTCTAAATGTCTTTCAACCCAATTGTATGTCCTTATTTTGTAGCTGGAGAAAATAAATCCACACTTAAGGGACTTGTGTCTCAGAGTAAATTAGAACCCACGCTTAATTCTAAATCTTGAATGTTGTGCTAGTAAATGTGTTGTTTTCTAAAGCAGTAGAAAGCACTGAAGGTTTTATTGGACAGGAGAGTAACATTAGAAATATGATATTTGGGCAAAATTACTTTTGGCAGTGTGGTAAATGGACTGAAAGGGACAGAGTTAATTGAGCTGAAAACCAGTATTGACGAGCAGACAGCAAGGACTCATTCTGTGGTTTACTTTATGTGTGAGGCCTTGGTCTCAGGTTTGGTTTAAGGTGACAGGACTTTTCCCCTGGAAAAGTTGTTTTCATACCCAGGGGCTTTCTCAGAGGTATTAAGAAGGTTCCCAGCATCATTACACACAGGCAATGTCAGAGGAAAGGTATTCTCTTTCTCATTTATCTGTTTCACATATTCACATATCGAATATAGAGAAGAATGAGGGGTTTTAACAGGACATCTGTTAAAACCAATTTTTTAAAAATCACATTTTTATAGAGCTCCAGTGTGCAGACAGTTAGCTTTAAATTCTATAATTTCATCGTCTTTGTTTGAGAATTCTATTATGAAACAATCTTTCATTCTGCTTTAATGAAAAGAAGCAAATGATATTGCAGGGTCACAGCTTGTAACAGCACAGTTTATGGTATAAGTCACATTGATAATATCTGCTTACAATGGGGATCTTATTCTTTGGGAATCAGAAGCATAATTAGGGAAAATATTTAACCTCTTCCTAAAAATCCATTGTGGGACAAGAAGAAAGCTGTTATGAAGACCTTCAGTTTAGCTAGCATGGGTTGCCTGGAACAGAGCTACTCAGAGTGTGGTCCCTGGATCAGTGGCATCTCCTAGCAGCCCAGACCTCCT